GCGAAGGCAAGCTTGCGGCGGCGCGCACCCATGGGGGCGTGCGCGGCGGCTCCGTCGCGATCCCGGCGTGCCTGGTCGACGGCGTCGGCCTGAGCGGCGCGCGCCAGCGCGTCTTCCTGGAGCTGGTGCGACACTGGTGCGATATGCGGCCAGGCCCAGCTCGGGTCGGGCGAAAGGGGGGGATAGCAAAGGGGGGTTTGAGAATCAGCTCACGTAGCTGATTTTCCCGGCGCCTCCCGGCGCCTGGAGGCGCCCATGTATCGAGGAATGGGCCCCTCGGAGGGGCCGAAACCAGCTGCATGCAGCAGATCTCGTACCCCCCCTTTCCCTATTCCCCCCCTTTCGTCCGGCCCGACCAACGTGGCTGGCATCGACTGGCTGGCCGGGGGCGACTTCAACATGGCGACCTCGGTCCTCCCTCAGGAGCTGCTGCACGACGTGGGTGGGCTGAGGGCGGTTCCGACGGCCGCCGCCTGCCGTCCGCGCGCGGCTGCGGGCTCCATCATCGACGCATTCCTCTTCGCGAAGAGCTTGGCGCCGCGCTTGCAGTGCCCTGCGGTCTCCGAGGAGGGAGCGACGGCGCCGCGCCTGCCCGCCAACGTGGAGCTGCCGAGCCAGGACCTCTGGCTCAAGGTGCGGGTCATGAAGGGCCCCGAGGCCATGGGGCCCATCCCGCATATCGGCTGCAGCCGCGGCGTCGAAGACTGGTCGGGGCCCTTGGAGAGGGTCCGCGCCGTGCAGACGGTCGCCCAGCTGCCCGCGGCCCGGGACAGCGCCGTCGCCACTGTCGAACATGAAAAGTTGGACAGGTGCGATCCGGTGGGTCGCTTCAGAGATGACTTCGTCGGCGGGGCCGGCGCTCTGCGAACGGCTCTCGTCGCTGTTCAGTGGCGCCCCCCCTGGCCGCAAGACCCGCCTCGGTCCGCGGGCCCCAGCCTGCCGCGCGGCGGCGAGGCGGGCGCTCCACTTGATGGGGGTCGGGGCGTGCGTCGCCAAAGCGCTCCGTCGACTTCGCGGCGCCGGCCTGCAGCGCGCGCTAACCGACGCGCAGTGCGACGACCTGGGGATCTTCTTGCTGGAGGCGGAGGCGGACCTGCGCAAGCCACGGCCACCGTTGCGCGATGCGCGTGCTGGCCGCCTGGGTACAATCCCAGTGCTTCTTCGGGATGGAGATCCGCGTCTTCATGCGGCTCCACTTCGCCCAGCAAGCGGGCAACGTGGTCGAGTGCGCCAGCATCATCTACGACCAGGCCATCGCGGCGCAGCTGAAGGCCTGGGAGGGGCGCGCGCACGACGCGTTCCCCCGCGGCGCTGGCAGGGCGCACCGAGGCACCAAGTTGCGCTTTCTCCAGCACGCGCTCCAGGCCTGGCATGGACAGCAGCGAGACGCCAGCCCGCGCCTGGTCTGCGACCGCGAGATGCTGCCGCGGGACAAGGTCTGGCACTGCCACGGTCTCGCACAGTTGCCCAGGCCTGCAAACTTCGAGGACTGGCTCCTCCCTCCCTGGGCTCTCGGTGGCCGCGCTGGAGGAGGCGGCGCGCAACTTCCCCGCGCCCGCGGCGACGGGGCGCGCGCGCGCTGAGCTTCCTGTCCGACGAGGGGGCGTGCGCATGCGGGCAGCTGTTCCTGCGCCTCGAGCGCCTCGGGGCGTTGCCTGAGGGAAGGATCTGGCGCGAGATGTGCCGCGTCCCGAGGGCGTCGGGAGGCTGCCGCCTGATCGCGCTCATGCACTCGATGGTGAGGCGGTGGTCCAACGGGCGGGCCAGCGTCTCCAAGCAGTGGATCCCCGGGCACCCCGGCGCCAGCATCTGGGGGCCCCGGGGCGGGCAGGTCGTCCTCCGACGCGGCATTCGACCTCGACGTGGAGACGGAGGTCGCGGCCAGCCTGGAGGAGCAGGTGCTCACGGTCCTCATGGGCGTCTAGCAGTTGTTCGAGACCATCATCCAAGCTGCCCTCATGCAGGGTGCGTCCGAGCTGGAGATGCCTCTCCTGTGGCGCGGCTGCTCCTCGAGCTGTCCAGGCAGCCGCGGAGGCTGCGGGCGATTGGATCCGTCTCCTGCGAGGTGATCTCCTTTTCAGGGCGTCCTGGCAAGCTTCGCGCACGCCATCGCGATGGCTTCCGCCCTCGTCTTCCGCCTGCTCGAGCGGGCCAGGCTGATCGGGGTCGCCCCGAGGGCCCTGGTCCACGATGTCGCGCTGCAGGGGGTAAGCCGGACCTCGACGCGCTCTGGGGCGCCGAGGAGCTGGGCAGCATCGCCCAGCCCGCCAAGTCGGGCATCCTGACATCATCGACGGAGGGCGCTGAGGCCAGCCGTCGGGATGGAGGGGCGCGCGGCCTGAAGGCGCGTCGCTGGGCGCGTGACCTCGGGCGCGACCTCGGCGCCAATCGCGTCGAGCGCAGGCGGGCCATGGCGCGGCCCGGGCGCCGATGCAGGCTGGCGCTGTTCAAGAAGGCCACGGGCAGCATGGTCGCGATGCTCTGGAAGACGAGGTTGCTGCCCAGTGCGGGGCGTGGGGCAGGCGTGTCGGGCATCGCCGGCGGCGACGTGGCTCGGCTCCGAGGAGAAGTTGGGCGTCTAGTCGGCGCGCGGCCTGGGCCCTCAGGCTTGATGATCTACTTGGCGACGCAGCGCGCCAGGCAGCGCGGCCCGATCTACGTGGCCACCGTCGAGACCGTCGTGCGCTACTCGGCGTGGATCTGGGAGCAGAGGATGTTGCAGGGCCGCCTGCACCGCGCCTGGTCTAGCATCGCGGAGCAGCTGGCGGCCGAGCCAACCAGGGCCGCGGCCAGGTGCCCGATCGCCTCGCGTGCCTCCTCGCCCTGTGGCGGGTTGGGTGGTGCATGCGCCCCTGCGCGGTGGCAGTGACGGACGAGGAGGTCGCCGTCGACCTTCTCGCCGCCAGCCCAGCGGGCCTCAAGAGGCACCCGGAAGCCAGCGTGGCTCGCTGGCAAGGCCGGCAGATAAGGGCATTTCGGCAACCTGAAGGGCGCGCGTCGGCGAACTGTGGATGCGGGGCCTTCGCCCCTGTGCGGGCGCCGCAGTCCCGGAAGGCCCTGCGGCGACCAGCCTGCGCATCCACTGGCCGGGCGCGCCGTTTGACGGGCGGCTTGCGCCCGCGCCCGCCTGCTTGGCCTGCGACGGGCCGTCGGACTCGCCGGGCCACCGCTGCCGCGAGTGCGAGCGAAGAGGCACGCGCCGTCTTGCCCAGGCGGCTTCACGACGCACGGGCCCGCGGGCAGGCCAAGGCTCTGCGCGCAGGAGGGGGCGCGCCCGACTTCGATGGGTTCGAGCATGCCGTCGGCCGGCCGTCCAAGCCCCCTCGCGCCCCACCTGCCGCGCGGGGCGCCCCCGTCTACTTCTGGGGCGAGTGGGCCGCGACGGACGCCGGCGAGCTCGGCAACGTTGTCTTCGCTGACGGCTCGGGCTTCGCGATCGGCACCCCCGAGTTGCGGCGCTGCGGATGGGCGATCGTCGAGCTCGGCGCCTAGGGGGTGCCAGTGCGCGTGGCCTACGGCCCGCTGCCAGGGTCGCTACAGACGGTGGGTCGAATATTCCCAGCACGCCATCAGGGGAAGAGGGAGAGTAGTATTCATATTGAGTAATTGTGGAGGGGGGGGCGGGGCGTTCCCGACACGAGGCGGCCCTGCGCGGGTCCGGGGCCGCGCTGCCGAGAGGCTGCTGCTCCTGCGCCTGTGCTCCTGCTGCTCCTGCTCCCACCTCGTCATGCTGCTCCTGCCTCGGCCCCATCCGCCCTCCTGCTCCGCCCCCTCTCACTTCTCCTCCTCCTCGTTCTCGTTCCCCCGGCCTGCTCTCCTGTTTCTCCTCCCTCCTCATCATCATTCCACCTTCCTCCTCTCTCCTCATGTCTCCTCTCGCAGCTCCTCCTCCTCCTCATCCTCCTCCTCCTCCTCCTCCTGCTCCTCCTCGCTTGTTTGTTTTTGTCCTCGTCGTCCTCCCCCTGCTTCCTCCAGCGAGTCGCTCCTCTCGTCCCTCCTCCTCCCCCTCTCCCATCCACTCTTCCGCCGAAACTCAACTCCCCCTCCCCCCTCTCCTCCTCCTATCCTGCTCGGAACTTGGGTCGCTCCTCTGCGTCCAAGTTTGCAGTCTTGCCCAAGCGTGACAAAGAAGCTGGAGGCGGGGATTACGGGGAGAAAACCAAGACCCTTCAAGCCTCCAGAAAGCGCTCGGCCCTATTGCATTAAACTCCATTGCTCTCTCATCTGTGATGGTGTTGGTTTGGTGTTGTTGTTGTTGTTGTTGGTGGTGGTGGTGGTGGTGGTGGTGTTGGCGTTGGTGTTGGTGTTGGTGTTGCTGGTCTCTCTCTCTCTCGACACATTATCTCTCATATACCTCTCTGGTTGTGCTATCTCTCTTCTTTCTTTCTCTTTCCCTCGCGCGTTATCCCCGCGCCACCCTCTTCCCATCACACCCACTTCCATCCCACTGTCGCTTCTTCCTATTTCAATCCCTCCTTATCTTCCCCGCACTCGCCGTTTACGTCTCCTTCAAACTGCCCCAACCCTGCAAACTTATTTCGCCCTCTCCAATTCTGAGCATTGTTCAATCGTGTGATGAAACTGCACACTCCCACCGTCTATCTCAATAGCTCTTGTCCAATCCTGCCATGTACCGGCACTTGCTCCCTTCTTCCCTCCTGTCCTGTCTTATCCGATCGTTCTACCCACCTTGCTCTCTCGCTTTCCCTTCTCTCCCCCTCTCTCCCTCTTACCCTCACTCTCCCTGCACAGCAACCCACCTGTTCTCATTATCTAGTTATGCTTGCTTTCAACTTTCAACCATCGAGCAGCAGGCCCACTTCGTCAAGCTCAACCCTGGCACACTCGATCTTCCCAAATAGACGTCCCATGTGCATCCATGACTGTTGCCTAGTGTCGGCTATCACCCATCGCCTGCTCACATCCACTTCAGGCCATCTTAAATTCACACCTGCCCCAGTCCCATCCAACATCTCGTTTTCATAATCGACGAGTTTGTCCTACAGTGCAAGCGGGAGGTGATCCAGAGGAAAATGAAGGCAAACTCCAAGAAGAGACGAAATAGCGGAGAATCGATCACATGGATGTGGGCAAGCCGTCGAGCAGAACGCATGAAACGTCGCCGAATCGGAGAGCGAACAACATAGGATCAACACCACACAGGCGGACGAGTAAAACGGGAGTCGGCGAGAGAACCACAGATAATGATTATTAGGACGAGGGCGAGAGAGAACAGCCGAAACGTGAGGTGATGAAGGGGATAACAAAGATGAGGCGGGCGGCGCCGAGCGGAAGGAAGAACACATGCGCGCGCCTGCTTGGCCCAACTTACGGCCCCCCAAAGTGAGCGCCCAGCTGCCAGAGGAATGGTCGGCAACAGGAAAGATGAGGGGCGAGGGAGGAAGATCTTAGGAGGCAACTCCAGGGATGTCTTCGCCAGATCGGTAATACAGGAGCCACTCAGCCTGAGGCGCCCATGTGAACGTCTTACGGGGGAGCCTCCAACTGCTTAAAACAGGTGCCAGAACATCCAAGATCCACTCCACTGGGGGGCGAGGGGGGGTGAGAGGGCCCGCGCCGATCGGCAAACCAATGAATAAGGAAACGGTGTGGGGGGCGAACGGGGGGGCGAACGCTGGGGGGACGAACTGCAAGGGCCCGCGCCATCAAGACAGATTACTGTTCACGCTGGGGGGGCGAACGTGCTTACGAAGCTGGACCAGCTTGCCAGCATGTTGGTAAGAAATGTTGGCGCTGCCGTTCGGGAAGAAATTTGTGAATCATATGCTCGACCGCAGGCCGAATTAAGTCCAGGATTCAATCGGATAAAAGGGAATTCAGCCAGATTCGCCAGAATCAGGCCAGATCCGCCGACCCCTAGAGGCGTGTGCGATCACACCCTATTTCAACACCTCTGCTGTTGGGACCCCTCAACATGCCACTCTTAGCTGGAACCGACCCCTATCCCCACCTCGCCCCACCACTACACCAAAGCATCCCCACCTTCTGGAACCCTTCGGCACCTCCACTTCTGCTCACCCGACGATTCCTGGCCCAGAACCGACCGTCACCCTCCACCTCTGCCCCCCACCTCGCCTCGGCGCCCACACCTCTGGCTCTCTGCTCTGGGGGCCATCCACCCGACAAGCCTTGGCACGGAACCGACCTGGACCGCCACCTCGCCCCACACCTCGCGTCGGCACCGCCACCTCTGGCCTTCTGTTCGGGGGACCATCCACCCACCGGGTAATTTGTCGGCCCAGAACGGACCCACGCTACCCACCACGTCTGACATCCGCACCCCCACAGGGCACACCTCGGGACCTCGGTCCTTGGGGCAACCCCACTCGCCATTTTTCAGCCCAGAACAGACACGCGATCCCCACCACGTCTGACATCCCCCCCCCCAGAGCACCCGGCGGGACCTCGATTCTTGGGACCCCCCGCCCGACAATTTTCGGTTCCAAGCGGACCCGCATTCCCCACCACGCCTGACGTTCGCACCCTCCCAGAGCACCCTTCGTGCCCTCGGTTCTCTTTTTTAAGAGCCATCGCGAACAATGCAAACTCAGGAGCACCTCGTCATGAGAGCGGGCAGGATGCGCCATGTGCCAGCCTCCCAACCTGTATAGTAAGGACCTCCTCCTCCTCCTCCTTCTCCTCCTGCTGCTCCTCCTCCTCTTCCGAGCACCCGCGCCGGCGGCCGGGAAACTCCTGGGGCCGCCAAGAGAGACTCGTCACTGCACACAAGCCTCATCATACCTAGCAGCGCAGCGCATGCTCCAATCTTTCCCACTAGGTAGACAAGATGATACACTCAGGAAGCAGGGTCCCGCATGTTGTTCATTTGGGGTGCCTGGACGAGTGATGGAAGCGAGAAGGAAGGAGGAGGAGCGATGGAGAGAAACAAGTAGCGAAGGAACATGATGCTGTTGATGCGTACGCTAATACATATTCGACTATTGGATCACGCAGCGCGGGAACACCATGGCATCGTATTGGAAAAACTGAGCTTCAAATACCTGCTTCCGAATACGACATCTCCTGCGCAGGGGAATGATTAAGAAGCTGTGCTCAACAGAATTGTCTCTTCTTGCCATAAGTCCACCACATGCTGAAGACATTGAGGGTTTTATTCCCGCCAGCCCATGGTGCTCGCAAAGCAACACCCACGGTGCTTTGATTGGTCCGCTCCACCATGCCTTTCATGCAATCGTGGCCGTCGTCCTGACCGAAGCACCATTTCCATTTGAGAATGTCATAATAGAACTGGAGGTATGACCCAGGCATGATGGCAAACAAATCATGCACGCCTTTTTTGGGGCACTGGTACGGGAACAGGACCTTTCTGAAATCTGCATCGGGCCATTGGTCGATGGGCACCTGCCACACGGTGTCGTGACGTAATATGAGGACCAAATTGTATTTGACCGCCACGTACGACCTGTTCGACGTTCTATATTCGCTGCCGAGCAAGCCATGCTCAGCACTGTAGTTTCGGAGCTGGTCGATCGCCCACATGATATTTGTTCTCTGGTGACCACTTGCATTCTGGCTCTGCATCTTAACGCGCTCGCGCCCGATCCTGGAAACAATCCTCTCGTCAGTCAGGTTGCACACCCGGTCAGTCACGACGACGTCCACCTCATTGCCGTAACGCTCAAATCGAGCGATCACGTTTCGCACCAACGAATCCGTTGCTCTCCCCTGCCTCTCGAGGGACTCCGTGTCGTTCACGCAGCTCGCATTCTTTCGATACTTGCCGCCCTTCCCGCGAAAGCTGGCGCCTCGGAGCACGATGGCAACACGCCCACCGCTCGGGAAGCCCACTCCGTGGATGCCGGTGTCCGGTGCGCCGTCGAAGTGCCCTCCCTCGTACGGGTCAGACACGTTTTCGTCGGGATCATCGTGCTGCTGAACCCCGACGCGACCCTCCAGCCTTATCCTCTCTGGGCTCCTCTCTCGCGCATGGCCGTGAGCGTCTGCAATATGAAGCCCCACTGCTACGGGAAGGAATAAGCATAACAACAACAGCATGGCCAAGAGCGAACCAGCAGACGTACTTGGTCCCCGAACGTGGGGGCCTGATCGTTATGCAGACGGACAGGATCGGTATGAATATAAGTGTGAGCAGTGTCGGTGCCAAACTGGCTTGAGCCACGACGGCTGCGGATTCGTGACCTCGGTTCTTGGGACCCTCCACCTGACAATTTTCGACGCAGAACGGGCCAACGCCCCCCACCTTATCTGACATCCGCACCCCCCAGCGCACATTGCACATCGCGGCACCTCGGTTCTCAGGACACCAAACCCGGATATTCTCGGCACAATACGGACCCACCTCGGAACGCCGGGTCTTGGGACTCCCTCGACCCGACAATTCCTGGCCCAGACTGGACCCACGCCCCCCACCGTAACAGTTCGCCTCAGGGCACCACTCGGGACGTTTCTCGTTTCCTTGACTCCTCCCACACCTCAATTTCCGCCCAAACAGCGAAGCCGCACCTCTGGCCACGTCCCCCCCCTACCAGAGCACCCCATCGGGGCCTCGGTTCTTGGGACCCCTCCGCCCAACAAGTCTCGGCCCAGAACGGACCCGCGCCCCCCACCACGTCTGACATCCGCACCACCCCAGAACATCTCTTTCGATATCGGCTCACAGGACCTCCCACCCGACAATTTTCGGTCCAGGGGCCCCCAGATGACCCAAGAGGCCCCAAAACGGCCCAAGAGGGCCCCAAGACGGCCCCAAGAGAGCCTCAAGAAGGCCCCAAGCGGCTCCAAAGAGGGCACGAAGAGGCGGTGTGGGGACTGGGTTGCCTGGGTGTGGGGACTGGGCTGGTCCCAAGACGGCCCAACAGTCACAAAACGGTCCTCAAAAGGGCCCCTGGAGAGGACCTCAGGAGGCCAAAAACATAGTTCCCAACCATCCTGTGGTGTTGGGTCCTCGCTTTAAAGACACAGCCCCCCGCGTCTCACTCCTTCCTCCCGCTGACACCCCTCCCTCCTCCCCTCCTCCCCCTCCTCCTCTCCTCCCCCACTTTGGCACACCCCTCACACGTTTGGGGTTCCATAGGGAGCTCCACCGAAAGCCCAGATGCCAGCGCTCGCATGCGCCCACCGCACCGCTTTTGGCATACCCATCACACGTTTTGTGGCCCCATCGGGAGCTCCACCGAAGGCCCAGATGCCAGCGCTCGCATGCGCCCACCGCACCCATTTTGGCCCAACCCATCACACGTTTTGTGGCCCCAAAAAGAGCTCCATCGAAGGCCCAGATACCAGCGCTCGCATGCGCCCACCGCACCCATTTTGGCACACCCTTCACACGCTTGGTGGCCCCATAGGGAACTCCACCGAAGGCCCGCATGCCAGTGCTCACATGCGCCCACCGCGCCAATGTTGGGACACCACTTAATCGTTTCTTGGCCCCATAAGGGGGCCCCGCCAAAGGCCCAGATGCCAGCGCTCGCCTGCGCCCACCGCACCCATTTTGGCACACCCCTCACACGTTTCGTGGCCCCATCGGGAGCTCCACCGAAGGCCCAGATGCCAGCGCTCGCATGCGCCCACCGCGCTCATGTTGGCACACACCTCACACTTGTCGTCACCCCATCGGGAAGACCCGAATGCCAGCGCTCTCATGCGCCCACTGCACCCATTTTGGCACACCCTTCACACGTTTTGTGGCCCCAAAGGGAGCTCCACCGGATGCGGCGCATCCGGTGGAGCTCCCACAACTGCATACGGTTGGGTCTTTCGCCAAGCTAATTGTTTCTGAAGGTTTTTGGAAATTTTTCGGATTCTCGTTTACCCGGGGCCAGAAGGGCCCAAGACAGCCCCAAAGGCCCCAAACATTGTCCCAAGACGGCCCCACAGGCCCCGGAAAGGATCCGAATCCTGTCCCAGAGGGTCCCCGGACGGCCCTAGAGGGCCCCAAGGCGGCCCAAGAGGGCTCCAAGATGGCCCCGAGAGAGCCCCAAGGTGGTCCCACCAGGCT